AGCGGGAGAGGGAGAAGCAGACTCCCGCTGAGCAGGGAGTCCGATGCGGGACTCGATCCCGGGACTCTAGGATCATGACCTGAGCCGAAGGCAGTCGCTTAACCAACTGAGCCACCCAGGCGCCCCCGAGAGGATGTGTGTTTTAAATTATCTTAGGGCTGACAGAGCTTTTTTAAATATAAAATAGAACCTTAAGAGATAATGACCAAAGATTATTAGGTTAGCATCAGAACAGACAATGAATGCATTAGAGCTAATTGTGTATGTGTGCAATGTCTTTTCCTTTTGGTTTCATTTCCAGTTGGAGTAATAAATTTGTATTTATATTTCATATACCTTTTTTCCCCTATCCTTTTGGCCGTGCATTTCATTCATCTATCACATACTTACTGAATTCTTGATGGTGTAGGCTTCATACTAGGTGCTGGCTTCATGAGAATTCAATGCTTTGAAGTTCGGGTTATAGGTTCTCAAATTTGTAGGAATTGGGGCAGAAATACCTGGAGGTCCTCAGGCCCTTTGTATAAACATTTAAAAGTTATAAATCAAACTGATACATTGCTAAATAAGGATAGGTCTTTTCATCCTGCCTTGAGAAATAGCACCATTATCAGGAAGGCCATGTGTGGGTTGAGATCGATCAGGCTCCAGTTCTCTACTGGAATGTGTTGGTGCATGTGGGAAGAGCCAGCCTATAGTAGCCCAGCCCTGTCTCCCAGAAATGGCCCTGTCCTAAACCAGGCCCTCCTTTGCAGACACCCCAGCACTCTTCCCACACCCCTGCAAACTGCATTCCCCCTGCCCATTGCTCAGGCTAGGGAGGTTACCACCTGCAGGTCGACTTCCCTATAGAAAAACCTATAGAAGGCCCTTGGTGGGCTCTAGAAACTGGCTTGAGGCTGTTTGAACACAGATTTCTGGGCCCTGGTACTCAGAAGGGCAAGTCAGGGCAGGCTCTGGGTGGGCAGGTTCTTTGCTTTCGGAATTTATTGTGTGAAAAGAATGTGGTCAGAGGACGAATAGGAAGATCCCTCAAGTGACCAGGGCTCAGGAAGGGATCCCCTTGCCCAAGTGCTAAATCGGTGCTGTGTATGCTCTTGAACCAAATAAAACTGAGTGTTCCTTGAGAGGATCAGAGTGCCACAAAGTCTTTAGATTTTGAAGCAAGATCAAGAGTCAAATTTTAAAAAAATAGTGTTTTGTCAGTGAACAATTACGAGGTGCTTAATTGTTCACAAGCATTAAAAATAAGCATTGGGTTGTCAACTTTATTAGGCTTTATATTTTAAAACTTAAAATTTTTTATGATAAAATAGTGATAGCAAACTTGGAGTTATGCCTGCTTTAAAGAACTTCTAATTATGTATTCTTTGTTTTAGATATTTCCCCACTTACTTAAAAATGGTGACTAGCTGTTTTATGGGTTGAAGTGTTGTTAGAGGGGAAAAAGAGTAAATGGAAAGGTATTCTTCGTGCTATTCTAGCCCTGGTTCAATTTCCAAGTGTATTCAAGGGAAAGAAAAAGGCTGTGAATTGACCACTTAAGTAAATCAGTTTGCAACTCAATGTCCTAGGATTATTAAATCCAGAGGTAGGAATATAATTTTATGTCACAAAAAATCATCCCATACAACTTTTCATAAAATACTGTCTTTCTGATTGGTCTTATGTTAATATACAATTGTAGTTTTACAGTAATTGAGGACAAGAAAGAGCCAATTCAGTGTAAAAGGGAATACTTGATTATTGTATAAGAGCAATAAAAGCTAATTTACTGTTATATTACTCAATATTGAAAGCTGCAAGAGGCTATCTTTTAGTTCATTCTTCATTAATTGTGTTATATTTTAGTGATATTAGTATCTATTATAGATGAGTTTTATGGAAGGCTTTTAAGTTGACATCTCAGCATGTATTTTGGCTCACATAAATATCTTTGACATATTTTCTGCATGATTGTTGAAGGGCAAATGAAGTGTTGAAGGCAACATGGATTAATCAGTCACTGTGATTTCTTTATGAAAACTCCTATGATAAACTATTCTTTGAAAGGGTCTTAGCTAATAACAAATTATAACTGATGAAAACAAGTAATTGTACTTAAAAAAGAAAAAAAAAACCCTGTTACTTATTCAGCTTCATAAAGACAGTTTCTTCTAAATTTGCTTTCTATGCTAGATTACTAGAGTTTTATTATTAAATTAATTTTGGAGTCATTCCATTGTTAATAGCTCTTTTCTTTTATTGAGTTAATAGCCAAATAATTAGGGCTTAGTTTTGACCTTTGTTAAAATTTAGGTAAAACACCTATGTGTGATGTCTTAAAGACAATAATTTGCACAGAGCCATTTCAGGAATTTACATGGTCCTCACTGCACATGTATAATAAGAGCATGATGCAGAAGGAGAGGTCACTTCCAAACATTTGATTTTAGCTCAGTCTTGCAATATGGAGGTAGATACATGTTAAATTAAATATTATAATGGTCCTTGGTAAAATAAATTCTCCCCACAGTGCAATCTTTGTTTTTCGGATGGTAATAACACTGATTTTTTCTAGGGCTAAATTAGTTTGCTAGGGTTGCCATCCCAAAGTACTACAGACTGGGTGGCTTAAGCAACGGAAATTTATTTCCTTACAGTTATGGAAGCTGCAAGTCCAAAATCAAGGTGTCAGCAGTGTTGGTTTCTTCTGAAGGCCTCTCATCTTGGCTTGCAGATAGCCCCCTGTCTTCGCATGGTCTTCCCTCTGTGTATGTCTGTGTCCTAATTGCTTTTTCTTGTAAGGACATATTGGATTAGGGCCCACCTTCATGACCTTATTATACCTTAATCACCTCTTGAAAGACCCTGTCTCCAGATACAGTTGCATTCTGAGGTATTGAGGTTTAGGATTTCAACATAGGAATTTTGAGGGGACACAATTCAGCCCTTAATAGGGGCATAGAATGAATTCTTTGCAAACCAAAGTTTTGGGTTACCAATATGTTTAAGATGTGGAACAGTTTATTTAAATGTTTTAAATAAATGTGCCCTTTTCAAAATTTAGTTGTTAGAAATATCTTTTATTTCCTCTTTTACCTGTTTTGATTGTAGAAATGGGGAAGGGTCCATTAAAGACTGATGAAGGTGATAATAATAATAGCAACTAACATTTATCAAGTCCTGTGTTATATCCTGGACTCTGGTCTGAGCACTTGATGTTTTTTTTTGTCTTGGATGTTGGCATGGTCAGCATTAGCAGCGAGTTGGAGCATGCTAGGGGTAGGTTGGCTTTTCTTTGCTTGTCCTTGGGAATCCAGATGTGGATCTTGGCTTTGCGGTCTGGGGCAGGAGTCCCAAGTTTGTACCTTTGCCAAGCAAGATGGGATTCTTTGCAAACCACTATTTCATGAGCTATCTTTGAATTTTCTATATAGATAGGCTTTTTATTTAAACATGGAAAAGTTAAACTATCCATGTAGTATTCTTTGGTGACTTTAAAAATAACTTAAAGGTGTCCCAGATCAAGAAAGTCCTCGTAAAGAATATTTTACACTGAATTCCTCTTTGGCTTCTGGCTTCAGACCTGTCGCTTTGTACATGCTCACTAAATAACTATGGAATGAATGAATAGATTTTAGTTAAAGCAAAAGGGAGAAATACAGAGTGTCAGTGCCCTTTTCAGAAGCTCATATTTACATTGTCAAAATAGTTGCATTGTCTTCTCTGCCCTAGCACATTTTATTATCTTCCAGCTAATACAGTATATTTCAGATATTAATTATAAACAAAAGAACTAACCAGTTGACCCCTTAATAGTTTAGTCTCCCCACATGTTTGAGGTTTGGAAAAAATAGAGCAGTAGTTTAGCCTGGATGTATAGAAAGTCCTATCTCTCTATAAGATTTCATGGATAAGAGGTTGTTCTTTGGAAGGTCCACGTGGCCAATAGATAGCTGGGTATGATTTTGCCTCAGCAGCTCATCATGTTGCTTTAATGCTCTGCCAGATAGGGCTATGCTTGGACTTATGGGTCTTGTTAAAAATGTTTCTTTATAGGGATGGGGCACCTGGGTGGCTCAGTCAGTTAAGCGTCTGCCTTCAGCTCAGGTCATGATCCCAGGGTCCTGGATTCGAGTCCCGTGTCAGGCTCCCTGTTCAGCGGGGCGTCTGCTTCTCCCTCTGCCTGCCACTCCCCCTGCTTGTGCTCTCTTTCTCTCTCTCTGTCAAATAAATAGAATCTTATAAAAAGATGTTTCTTTATAGTGAAATTGCAAATATCTTTAGATAAAACTTCCAGGATATTTGAGAAAAGTCTGAGAACTAAGTCCTCAGTATCTACAATTTTCTTTTGAAAAAGACTTGACATACATGTATACACTTGTGTTGTTTGATTAGTGTCAATTTGTGCTTCCAAAAAATGGAATAATTTACAGCCTTTGGAAACTAATGCCCGTTCTTGGCAGAATTCTACTTCTCTGTATTCATAATAGTGCTATTAATTACCTTACTGCTTTGCTGCTGACTTTTAGATATAGTTTATACTTTTCTTTTTCTTAATTTAACTTACTAAAATGGGTAGGGAGTTTCAGATGTGGTATGAAGGGATACAGTTTTCATTACATTATGAGTAGTACTGCCAGCTTGTTAACGCTGTTCAGATTTTTAGAATTAAAGCAAATTCCTTAAATTAGAGATAAATTATAAATAATTGAATTCAATACTATAATTACTAAGCATAAATAAATGCTTTTGGGCCTCAGGTCATTTTTCTCATTTTTTCCCTCATTTCTATCTGAATTTGTGCAGTTTTCAGAGTGTTTTGTCATTAGTGACTTTTTGAGTTTCGTATCCATTGAAATGGAATTTCACCACTTGAAACATTTCTGAAATTTTTAAATGTGTCTTAATATGAATGAAACATCTAAGGGTATCCAAAGGTGATGCAATGGAATGTGACTGAGTTGAAATCAGACATATGAATCAGACCTTTGTTGTATATTTGTGTCTTGATTTAGGTTGGTTGAAGACTTTTGATGACTACTTTAGAGAGATGACTCAGTATATTTTTAATAACATGGTCATCAAGCTGAAAGAAGACTCACAGAGAAAATTTATGTGGTCTGAGATTTCTTACCTTTCAAAGTGGTGGGATACTATAGATAAGCCGAAGAAGGATGCTGTGAAAAGGTTTGTTTTAAAACTGTTTTTTTGTTTGTTTTTTTGTTTTTGCAATTTGGTAATATTAAACATTAATTATACAGTGAAACAAGACTTGAATTTTTAGAAGGTAAAAATTCTTAGCCTTATATCTGAAACTAAAATATTTCTTCACATCCTTTTTTCCCTGATTCTAGTTCATCTCTGAAAAAGTGACTTGAAACTTTTCTGTTGAAGTCCTTATGTTCCAACTTTGTCCCGGAGATTGAATTATTAGGTCAAAGGGGCTTAATATTTTAAATGGTTTTTGAAGCATATAATCAAAGTGACCCTTGGAAAGATTGTTTCAGAGTATTCTTCTATCTTCCATATAGAATTGTACCAATGTCTCTGCCTAGTTGGCCACCACTATAATTTTTTTCTAAAACTTTGACCGATTCGATGGTTGAAATATTTTAATTTGGATTTTTGATTACTGATAATGTTGCATATTTTCTCAGTGTGGTATGATGAGAGAATCTGTTCCCTATGTGTCCCTCCCTTCTGCTCCCAAGAGTTTAAGGATTATCATAGCATGAATTGCTTTCTTTTATTTATTTAATATCACATATATAGCACTTACTGTTTTAATGCCTGTTCTGAGCACTTCACAAATGATAACTGATAATCCTCGCAGCAGTCCTGTGAAGTAGGTACAATGACTGTCCTCGTTTTACAGATAAAGACACTGGTTGTCCGGGGTCACCCAGCTGGGACGCGCCTCGCTGGCGTGCCATCCGGGGCCGCCTGTCCAGCCCCACAGGCTCTTCCCTCCCATGCTGTGCTCTGCTGCTGCCCTGAGATGTAAATTGTCTGTTTTTTTCCCTACTTATTTGAAGTGCCATCTTTGTTGTATTTAAATATGCATTGATTTCTGGGTTTTCTGACCTCTTTCATGGACTTTTCTGCTTGACTCTGATTGTCGTGGCTTTAAGATCTGTTTCATTAATGGGCAATTTAAATCTCCCTTTGTCTTTCTTTGCTGAAAAATTCTTTTAATGAGTGACCACTTAATTTTCCCAAGGAGCTTTAGAATTAATTTGTTAAATTCTTCCTACCGTATCAAAAAAGAAAAGGATTTTGATGGAAATTGACACAAACTAATTTAAAGATAATTTGGAGGGATTTGGTTTTCCATCATTATCCATCAGACTTTTTTTTTTCCTTGATAGGGCACAGCATTCAAAAACTTTGCTAGTGATACACACACACACACGCACGCACACACACAGAAGAGATGGGAACCTAATAAAGATGCTGGTAGAGATTTATGTATGTTAGGTGGTTAGAAATAACATAAATGCTACAATAAAAGACCCGAAGTTTATACTTGTAGACGTGGATGTCAGAAAGAGTACAGATTTTGAGTTAGTGCAAAATGGTAGAAAGTGGGTTATCTGAAATCTGACAGGAAGTTTTTTGGCATATGTGGATGATTGTGAACACAGACAGTGAATTGAAGTAACTGGTAGACCTTGGAGGGTGTGTGTGTGTGTGTGTGTGTGTGTGTGTGTGTGTGTGTGTCTTGTGTATCCCTATGTGGCTGGGTTCAACTGGGTGCAGTTTTCTGCCTTCTTCACTTCTGTTTCTCAGGGACAAAATTTCACTTAAGCAATACAAAATTTGCTCCCTGATATAATCATTCACTTTGGAATAAATTTTTTTGAAACAAGCATTTATAGCAGAAATGACTATACCTATTTTTTTTTTGCCACTGTTCCCCTGTCAGCTCCCTTTTATTTTTAGGGATTTTATTACTTTTTAAATTTAGTACATAAGGGTCTGTGCCCGATCTTTGCTTACTAGCTCATTCGGTCATGCATTCTGCAACTGCCCCAATGGATATCTCCAATGGGGCAAGAGCGACGAGGTTTGGACACTCGTGAGCTGAGTATTTCTTTTTCTTGATCATAAATTCTAACTCTCACCACTGACAAATAATTATCTTTTCTCCTTTTAATAACTAAAATTACTATAACTACCACTCACTTGTAGTTTGTTTGGATTTGCCTGATCTCTGTGCCCTTTTTACATTAGAGGGAATTCATTTAGAACAGTAGTTCAAATGGTTAGGCCCTGGAATGAGGCTACCTGGGTTCAAATTCTGGCAACTCCCATCTATTGTGTGAACTTTGGGCAAATTATCTGACCTCTCTGTGTCTCATTTTCTTTGTCTAGTGAGGATAATATTGGGACCTATTTTATTTGGTTTTTATGAAGATTGAATGAATACAAATAAATGCTTAGCCCAATGCCTGGCATATTTTAAGTCCTTAATAAATATTAAAAGCTCTTGTTATTTTAGTTTTTGTCACTTTGAGTCTTTCTCTTGGACACTCAGTGTAGAACTTTAGTTCCGAAGTCATCCTTTTTTTTTTTCTTTTAATAGAAGAATTTAACTGTAAAATATATGCTTTCTTTCTTAAAAAAGCTTTTTAATGTATTGCTTCAGTGAAAATAACCTTCCCCTCCACTTCCCCGCTCAGACATTTTTAGGATTTTTAAAATTTTATCCATGAAATTCTAAATTTTGACCGTGTATCTAGGTATAACTTATTATTAAACTTTCCATCTGTCAATTCAAACATATCTTCGGCTTATGTGTTCTGCCCTTACTATATACTGTTTTTATTTTCTCTGTGGATTAAATTTTCTAGTTATTGAGTCTCACTTTTCCACATGCATTTTTGATTTCTTTGTTATATTTACTGTGTTTGGGAGATTTTTCTTAAGGGTTTTAAAGATTTTCTTAAAGATTTTTCTTAAGGGTTCTTTTTTTCCCCCACTTCAGATTCAGTTCTTTGAGGGTATGAAACATGTTCTTTTCTGGCTTTGGTTTTAACTGTTTTTGTTTGCTTGTTTGTTTTTTACCCCTCAGTTCTGCATTCTTTATATGGTACCCTGTAAGTCCAAGTATTTTTGTCCTTTTTATTCATCCTTGAACAATAACAGATGTATATACACCTAGAATTTGTCCCAAAACAGAGAGTGTAACTGGCCTCAATTCCTTCCTGTTCTAACTAAATACTTTGTTTCCTTGTTGTGGGTGTTAGTTCATATTGACTGGCCAGTGTCCATTCCCCCTGGTTTCCTTTTGGGAAATGGCCTCTCACACATGTCAGATCCTCCATCTTCCTGCCTCAGGTCAGACAGGCCAGCTATGACCTGAGCTCGGCTAATCAGTGTATTACTGCCCAGCATTCTGAGTCGTTAGAAAGTGAAACGAGGGTGGACAAAAGGAAGCAAGGGAGGCAGACGTAGAGGGAAGGTTGCAGGTCATCTCTCACAGCCCTGGTGCGTTCATAAGACTCTTCCTGTCCTGGGACATGGTCCCTGTGATCCCTGTAGCATGTCCTCTCATTTTCTTCCAGCCCTTCATTAAGCTTGGACTTGTAGTCCTCAGTTTTGTGTGTCCAGGAGAGTGTCCCAGTGCATTTCCTCTCTGGAGTCGGCAGGTGTTGTTGGCAAACAAGAAAGCTAGCTGATCTATTCCCCCTCAGATCCTTTGTTGGAGAGCTGGATTCTGAAAGATTGCATGAGCATCAGGGACCCAGCAGCTGGAGAATATGTCCCTGTCATGAAAAGGAGTGGCCGAGGGGAAGAGAGTAGCTGGGGCTGTGGGAAGATGGGGAGATTTATGAAGTGTTTGTTCTCTGCTGGGTGAAGCTGCGGAGGCCAGGATTAGCTTTCTCCATTCAGCTTTCTCTTTTGTCACGTGTAAGCCAAGTAAGAGCTTTGGCCTGTCTGAAGGTCCTGCTTCACAAGAGTATAGGAGACTAGAGTCCAGCTACCTCCGAAGGAAAGTGGGCTTGCTGCCTGCTGCTTTTCGTAAGGTGAGGCCATGCTTGATCCTCCCAGGATGGCTGCATGAGGGAGCTACCCTCTGCCCCAGTAAGGACCTTGGGGTTGAGAGGCTTCTCTGTAGGATGAGCTCTCAAAGAGCCCTCAGGTTGAAGTATGGAGATAGTGATTAGTGTCTGTCCCAAGATACAGCTTTGCTTCAGTCCTTGGCCCTCCAAATTAGGGGCTGTTGCCCAAATCTCTCAGAGTCCTTTCTCTTTATGATTTGAGACTCCATGTTGATTTTTCTTGTAGGATGATGGCAAGTTAGTACTTGAATTATTTTAGTTTCATCTATGTAGTATCTGTCAGAACCACTGCCAATTTTATAGCATGAGGATAGTCCCCTTCTCCTTATTCTAGCTGGGTGCATATCTCTCTCTCTTTTTCTGCTCTGTTGGCCATTTTACTTACGTTGAGCTGTATGAAATTGCCGGTATTTCACCATTTTTGATGTACAAAAATAGCAATTTCATGGGATTCAACCTAAGATTAAGGATAGAAAATGGTAAGATGTGGTAAGGAGTGGGAATACAAATGAGAATCTAATGCTCAATTCATTGTCTTAAACTTCTTTTGACAGATGCTATTTTGGCAGTGGGAAATATTCTGGAATATAGGCCTGATCTTGATGATACCATTTTGCTTGAAGAAAATATTGTTTTTGTTTGTTTGTTCTTTTTGTTTTGTTTTGTTTTAAGATTTTATATTTATTTGAGGGAGAGATAGAGCACAAATGGAGGGGCAGAGGGAGAGGGACAAGCAGACCCCTCTGCTGAGTGGGGAGCCTGACAAGCTCAATCCCAGAACCCTGAGATCATGACCTGAACCAAAGTCAGACGCTTAACTGATTGAGCCACCTAGGAGTCCCAAAGAAAACATTGTTTTTTATAGCAAAGTTAAGGCAAATGAGTTTTGTTTCTGGTCAAGCTTTGTCAGAGTTTTCTCCCTTCTTGGCATCATCATACACTTTTATTCACTTATTACATTTATCTGTGGAATTAGGGTCATAGCATTTTTTCCCCTCCTTACTTAAACATAACATTCTTAGTATTTCTTGCCTAAATGTATGTTTTGGGGAAAAATTAATAGATGTACAGGTGTGCTTTCAGTATTTAAAATTCTGAGCTTGTACTAAGTGGTGTTAACTG